TCTTTCCCTTTGTGTCTCTCTCACTCATAGATGAAATAAACAAACTTTAAAAAAAGGGAGAAAAAAAACATAAGACCACCATCTACTTTAAATTTGATGGGAACCAGCAGTTTTAGCGTAATGGCTATGTCACTGGACTCCCACGTAGTTGACCGTGGTTCGCGTCCCCGACCCGGTGGCTTAAAACTCACGCCGGGCGCGTGTGTGTGCATGCCCAAGATCCGAGAGGAGAATGGAGGAGAAGGGATTGCGGTGTGAGTGACCATCCCCCCTGGGGGGTAATTTCTCGCTTTCTGTCTTTATGTCTCTGTCTGTCTGGCGAGCGCACGCACCCTATAGCGAAAACCTCTCCAAAAAAAATTTTTTTTAATGTACTTTTTTATATTAAAATAGTACTGAATAAACAATTCACTCATATAAAGTATGTTCAAACACTGCAGACTATGTATTTCTCCCACTTAAGATATGCCTCAAGTTTAGACAAGTCAGGTGAAACAAAAATATTTCCAGTGGATTTTTTTGTTTTACTTTTCTTGGTCATAGGGCATATGAGCTCAGCAGAGAGAGGCAGAGAAAGAGAGAGGGGGGGGAAAGTGAGAAATCGCCCCTTGGGGAATGGCCACACTGTAATCCCCTCTCCTTTATTTTCCTCTCATGATTTTAGGCATGTACACACTCACACGTCAGTTGTGTTTTTCTTTTCTTTTTAGTTTTTGCCACAGGAGAGAATGAGATAAACAGAGAGAGAGGGAAAGTGAGAAATTGTCACCTGCTGGAATGGCCACACCACAATCCTCTCTCTATCCTCTGCGTGAGATTTTGGCCATGCACATACATGCACCCAGCATGAGTCCCAAGCCACCAGGTCAGGGACTCGAACCAAAGTCAGCCATGTGGGAGTCAAGGGCCTTCACTGCCACACCGCCTGCTGGCCCCTCCAATTATTTTTTCAAGATGCTAACAAAATGCTCAGATTAAGAGTCTTTAGCTGGCAGGTGGGGGTGCAGGTGGCATGAAGGTGAAGACACTGAATCCCGCATAGCCAGCTGTATAGTCCCAGACCCGGCAGAGTGAAAAAAGAATACAATTTTGCATCGATTCAAATTACCATGATTTGTTTTCTACAGATATATTTTACTGATATTTACCCCCATCAAAACAGAGATTCTAAACTGCAGTATATTCACAAAAGTAGCATAAACATTAGTGCAAGAGCCTCACCAGGTACATGTGCAAGTACAAACCCAGAGAGGAGATTGGAGGAGAAGGGATTGCAGCATGGCCATCCCCTGTGGGGGTGATTTCTCACATTCCCCCTCTCTCTCACTCACTCTCTCTCTTTCTCTGTGTCTCTCCTCTGATAAGTGCACGTGGTAAGATTTGTTGACTGGGTCTTTGAAGAAATTAATACAGAGTTAGCATGTACCTTCAGGCCCCAAACAGAAGCTCTGTCAATAACTATTGAAATAAACACAGAAACTAGACCGATCAGGCTTCTTGCCTTTCAGGAAAAGGTATTTTTAGCTTGGTCAGGGCACTTATGTCTCTAAAGGGTCTATTGTTTTCTTTGGCGAGAGGAGGCAGCAACCTTGTTCCTGAAGTTAAACTAAAATTATTGTTTATTGTTTTCCCAGGAGGCATGACCTCACCCGGTCCTGGTTACAGACATCACAGACAAATCACCAACTGCAAAACTCGACTTGGTAGGTATTAAAACTAAAAAATTCATTCTAAAATACCAAAACAGACTTACTCAGCTTCCTTAATCAACGTTAATATTTAAGTTTGTACATATAATCATAAGGCCAGCTTTTCTAGATAAGATGAAAAGTACAACTTGTAAACAGTTAAGAACATATAAATCATGTAACTTATGCAATAAAACATTTTTGTTATCTTATGAGACCTCTGTGTAGAGATAGGATGGGGGGGAGGTTGCTAGATTAAAAAAAAAAAAAAAAAAAGCATGCCTGATTCTACTTGAATTTTATATAAATAATTCATTTTAGCATTTATAAATATCAGAGTGTCATTTGGTGAGCCACATGGTGCTAACATTCAGCAGACACCTCGGAGCCTGCACTCCTCCAGGTGGGGAGCAGCCCACAGTGCAATAATTAGCTAGCCTGAATTACTACAGATCAAGACCAGAGAGTAGTAACTTTAAGAGGATGATACAACATTATCCTTCAATAGTGGAACTGATCAGCACAGGGAGCCAAGCAGATCCAAAAACCTTCACTGAATTCTCTGGGTTTGTATTTAGTCCTCAGTACCTCCTTAAAGTTCCAAAGTCAGTAAAATAAGGTATTAGTATATCATTAGCCCCAGACTCCTAAGATCTCTCTGAGCTTCATTTTGTTGCCCACAGTTGTCCCTGGAGTTAATTTGTGAGAAGGTTTCTGAATGTAATATCTTGACTCTATAAAAATAACTTTACTAAAAGACAATTTCAATTAAGGAGTAAAATTTTTCAATAACGTAAGTTATTTCTGGTAATTTCAATTAAGGAGTAAAATTTTTCAATAAAGTAAGTTATTTTTTGAAACATCAGCTTAGTCTTGGTTGGCACACAGGTGCCTTTTTTTGTTTTTTGGAGAGGATTTTGCTACAGGGCATATGTGCTCGACAAAGACACAGAATATGAGAAATCACCCCAGGGCGGATGGCCACACCGCAATCCCTTCTCCTCCATTCTCCTCTTGGGATCTTGGGCACGCACGCACACGCACCTGGTGTGAGTTTAAGCCACTGCGTCTGGGACTCAAACTGCGGTCGACTACATGGCAGTCTAGCAACATAGCCATTACGCCAACTGCTGGTCCCCACAGTTGCTTTTAAGAGAGTTTCTCAAATGATCTCAGGAAAAGAAATGACTTTTTTCTTCCTAATCTATCAAAGACCAATAATTCTGTAAAATCAAAATAGATTGGGCCAACTCCAATGAAGGAAGCCAAATCCCACGTGGCTGACCATGAGGTCTGAGTCCAAGACTTGATGGCTTAAGAAACACGTTGGCTCATGCGCATGTGTGCCCCAAACCCTGAAAGGAGAGAGAAAGGAAAGAGAAGGGACTGTGGAGTGACCATTCCCTATGGGGAGATGCTTCCTCCTCTCCCTCTCCCTCTCTCTGTCTCTGGGGAGTACATGTGCTCTCTGACAAAAATAAAAAAAAAAGATAATGATAAGTTACATTACCAGAAAAGACAAGACCTACAACGTGACCTCTTGGAGGCTGTGGCAGTGCTGCACTGCAGGAGACCCTAAACATCAACTCTCTGTGTTTGCTTACCTCGCCCGCAAGCATTCCTAGCCCAGCTCTGGTCCCTGCACATCTGGAAGGCAATGTCTGAGAATCTATCAGCTGCACGCTTGTAAAGTAAAACAACAGAAATGCTAAGAATTCACACAAAGAACTATTAAGTTACCTTTTCCTATGAGAACTCCGATTTTTGAATCTAGTTTTTCCCCTGGGTCGCAGCTTCTTGTCACTAATTTGAGGACCGGCAGGAAAGGCCTGACGTCGCAGAGTCTCCGTGTTTCATCTTCGAGCTCCTCATACACGGCGGTCTGGTTCACACACGCGAACATGTAGGAGTCCACTTCCATAAGGAGGTTAAACATGGGGTAATTGTGAACTTGCTTCCATAACATCTGCATGAAAAGCAGTAAGCATTTTCTAAGTACCTAAGTGCACACAGATATGTACGTACATGTCCATTGTAGCACTGTCTATAAAAATTAAAACGTGTACACAGAAGAGATGCTTAGCCATTAGAGTTTGATTAAATGAATTAGAGAAGACTACACAACAATGACGGTAAAATAGAAACACATTCTGAGGCCAGCAAGACGTGTCAATTAAGGCAGCTGGATCCCACATGGCTGTCTGCACGGCTCCACAGTCCTGGACCCAGTGGCTTGAAAACCACGCTGGTCACGCATGCCCAAAACCCCAAGAGGAGATGGAGGAGAAGGGACTGCAGCATGGCCATGCTTTCTAGTGGGGAGCGATTTTTTACTTTTTTTTTTTTTTAAGAACTGTTTTATTTTATTTATTCGTCTATTTATTTTAATTTGACCAGAGAGAGAGAAACAAAGAAAGAAAAAGAGAGGGAAAGTGTGAAAGCAAGCCACCAGGTCCAAACTCGAACCATGGCAGGCCATGTGGGAGTATCCAGCACCTCAACTATTACGCCACTGCTGGTCCCCTGTGATTTTTTACTCTCTCTCTCTCTCTCTCTCTCCCCCCCTTTCTGTCTCTCTCCAGCAAGCACACACACCCAAGGAAAAACCTTAAACAACAAAACAAAAGAACTACATTCTGACATGGAAAGCTATCCAAAATACATTTGACGCTTTTGCTTCTGGGGCCAGCAGGTGGTGTAGTGGTTAAAGTGCTGAACTCCTACACGGTTGACTGTGGTTTGAATCTGGACCTGGTGGTTCGAGTCTGAACCTGGAAGCTTGAACATCACACCAGGTGCATTGCAAGCGTGCCCAAAATCCCAGGAGGAGAATGGAGAACAGATTGTGGTATGGCCAAAACCCCTGGGGGGTATCTCACCTTCCCTCTCACTGTCTCAATCCAAAGAGCGCACATGCCCTATGACAAAAACCTTAAACAATAAATAAAATATTGGGTCGTCAGAAAAGTCACAATGTGGGATCAGCAGATGGCGTAATGGTTGTCACTGGACTCCCACATAGTCGACCGCGGGTTGAGTCCTGAACTTGGCAGCTTAAAACGCACGCCAGGCACATGTGCGTGCATGCCCAAAATCCCTAGAGGAGAACAGAGAAGGGCTTATGATGTGGCCATCCCCTCTGGGGGCGATTTCTCACTTTCTATATCTGTTCCTCTCTGTCTCTCTGGCGAGTACATGTACCCTAGCAGAAACCACTCTTAAAAAAAAAAAAAAAAAAAAGAGTCATAATGCATTTTTGCACAGAAAAATACATCATGGCTTTTCCAATGACCCAATAAATGTTTTTTGTTTTTTTTTAAATAGCCAATTACAAGAGAGCATATCATCCCAGGTTTTCTAAAGCAATATAATACACCAAAAATACAGTGTAAACAAAATTAGTAAAAGTAAATATGTGTAAAAAGAATCAGTGGGGAGTTTCATACATAATATTTCTATTAACATAAGTTTTTGGGTTTTTTGCCAGAGGGCACACGTGCTCATGAGAGTGAGGAAGCCTCCAGAGCGGGAGAAGCACCTGCGGTAGGGCACGGCCACGCCGCAACTCATCCCGCAGCTTGTGCTGCGGTTTTAGGCATGCACAAGCGAGAGCTGGGAGTGCCTTTCAGCTACTGGGACTGAGATGTGAACCATGAGGTCACCCATGTGGGATCCAGCTTCCTGGGAGACAAGGCCACAGAGATGACCCCATAAGTAACATCTAATCAAAAAAAAAAAAAAAAAAAAAGATATCATCTCTCCCATCAAAATCTAAAGTATTTTTGTCCTGCCTTCTGGTCTATTCGTCGGAGTACCCATACTAACACTCGTCAGTCAGGTGAACACAGTATCACAACACCTCCTCCTGCACCGCCTGGATAAAATAATGCAACAGGTGTATCAGGCAAACAGGAGGATCATACATGTTGACAAAGCCAGTGCAAAAGCCAGGAGCTGGAGAGAAAGACCTGGAGCAAAAATTGTGGCCCATCTCCAGATTCGGTTACAAAAAAACTAGGAGAAAGCCCAGGTAACAAAAGAAACACCAAGGCAAACTAGACATTATCAAAACTAAAAGCTCCTACGCATCAAAAGTCACTGTCAACAGACTGATAAGGAAACCCACTGAATGGGAGAATACATTTGCAAAATACATTCTGCAAACTCACAGAATGAGAGAATATATTGCAAGAGGGTGCACTCACTTGCCAGAGAGGGAAAGACAGCATCCCTCAGGGGGACATGGTCATGCCGCACTTCCCTCCATTTCTAGGTCCCATTAGGATTAGGATTTGGGCATACACTCACACACCTGGCATGTTTTCCTTTTCTTTCCTTTTTTTTAAAAAAAAAGAGAGATTTTAGCTATTGGGATCGTGCATTCACCAGAGAGACAGCGAAAGACAGACAGACAGAAAGTGAGAAATCACCCCCTGGGGGGAGGATGACCACATTATAACCCTTCCTCCTGCATTCTCCTCTCAGACTTTTGGACACACACACACACACACACACACACACACACAATACCTGGTGTGAGTTTCAAGTCACCAGGTCTGGGACTCAAACTGCGCTAGGCCATGTGGAAGTCCAGCAATGTAACCATTACACCACCTGCTGGTACACTGCTTACTATTCAATCACTGGGGCTGAGATTTGAATATATTCATATTTTGGGAGGGGATGCCATCTGTGGTCAGCCCCATGACCTAGTAGTTAAGGGAGCTGGATCCCACATGGCTAACCATAATCTGAATCTAGACCAGCAGCTTGAAAAAACACACCAAGCACACGTGCGTATGTGCTTAAAGTTCAGACAGGGTGGAGAAATGGAGGAGACAGAATTATAGAGTGACAGTGTCCCTCTGGGATGTGCTTTCTCTCTAACAAGCACTTAAGACCTCTGACGATTTGGGGAACCAGCAGTTAGCATAATGGCTATTTTGCTGGACTCCCATGTAGTCGACTGTGGATCGCGTCCCAGACCTGGTAGCTTAAACTCACGCCGGGCACCTGTGCATGCGTGCCCAAGATCCTGAGAGGAGAAGAGGAGAAGGGATTGCGGCGTGACCACCCTCCCTGGGGGGGGGGGGGTGATTTCTCACTTTCTGTCTCTATGTCTCTCTCTGTCTGGCAAGCGCACGCGCCCTATAGCGAAAAACCTCTCAAAAAAAAAAAAAAAAAAAAAAGACCTCTGACGATTTTCTTTTTTAAGGGAGAAAGAGAAAGTTTAGAAAAACAATTTCATGTATGTGCTAGTCTTCAGAAATCAACATGTCTCTTGAATAATCAATTTCTGAAAGCAGGCAAGCCCTATTTATTACTTGTTTTACAAGGGCTGGAACTGAGGCTTAATAGTAACTCAAAGAGCAGCACGATAGTTCTCAATCACCGTGGTAGGGAGAAGGGATCTGAAGAACTGGGGCAAAATGCAGCACAACTCGCTCCTGGCTCTGGGCGGTCTGAGGAGCCCAGGAGGAGGTGGGCACCATCCGGACCTTGCGCTGCACCTGGGCTCTGTGTTTGTGGTCTGCTTGATGCGCAGGCTGAAGGCCAGCAAGTGCACTCAGCAGAAACCTGACTGCAGCAAGCTTTACTTTATAGTAGAATTTGCTACCAAATGAGGACATAAAACTCCTATTAGGGGAAAAACCTGGTGAACAACAGAAAACGTTCTTCCTCCAGAGCCACCATGAAAAGCAGGAAGAGAGGAAAAGAACTGAAAACCAACAACAACAAAATCACATAAGGAGCTAGCCAGGTGACATGGTGGTTAAGGTAGCTGGAGCCCACATGGCTGACTTTGCAGTTCGAGTCCCAGCCTAGCACCAGGTATGTGTGTGTGTGCATGTCCAAGGTCCCAAGAGAATGAAGGAAAAAGGATTGTGGCATGGCCAAGCTCCTGGGGAGTGGTTTCTCTCCAGCAAGTGTACACAGCATAGCAAACTATTAAAAAGAAGAGAAGAAAAAAAAGAGACATACATAAAAAAGTGAGAAGCTCAAAGACCATAAAGATGTTAACTCAAAACTTTCTTGGTTTTATATAGCCTGAAGAAACATTTCTAACTAGTCTTCCTTTTATCCTTTGACATACAATAACTGTGTGTATCTGTGGCATCAACTTTTCTTAATTTAACTAGTACATACGGACTAAAAGGAAAAAGCGAATGAGAGGCAGCATGTTGCATACGTCCATAAAAGACAGAGTGTGCATCAAAACCTTTCAAATGTAATCACCTAGAAGTTCAATTTCCCTCCAATTTACCACATGATTCCTATCAATAACACTTTTCAGAACAGAATGGGGCTTCCCCATGTGACAGAATGCGTACGTATACGAACGTTCTACCTGTCCACATACCTGCTTAATGTAAGAAATGGTCGCTTCCCGAGGCACCTCCATCTGAATGTAGATCCCAGTGGGCAAGAGGAAATCCACGGGGATGGAGCCATCGGACGCGATCTGCGAGTCCACGGCCCAGATGTCAAGGACGTCCGCCATAGCAGGAGGCATTCTGGACCTGGGTGACGCTCATAACCGTGGGGTCCTAGACAGTGGTGAGCAAGGAGGAGTAGGACAGCCATCAGCCACGTTCTCAACCCAACTACGGCAAAGCTCCCCGATCTAGTTAGTCCTCGGATTTCAGTAAAGCCAATAGTGTAACAAGACGCCAATTAAATAACGTGATACTTTAAATAGCAAGGGTGAGTCACTATAAATAAAACTTTAAAATATAGTTATCGCATTATTTACATATATGTACACATGTATACACACACATATATAAATAAAATTATCTCACAATGATTCGAATTCAAGAAACGTGTATGACATCTGAAAGAACTGTTAAGCTATGGGGGCTGGCAAGTGGTATGGCAGTTAAGGGAGCGGGACTCCCACATGGCCAACCACGGTTTGAGTCCCAGACCTGATGGCTTGCTTTCTTGCTTTCTCTCTCTCTCTGTACCTCTCTGGTCAAATTAAAATAAGTAATAGAATTAAATAAAATAATTTTTAAAAAGAAAAAAAAAAAGAACTGTTAAGGATTATAGGATCCTGAAATGTTCAGTAAACAACTACTGACAGGTGGTTTTAGGCAGACATTATCTGGATGGGTTTTTTAATTTAGACTGGGTTTTTTCTTTTTTTTTTTAAATTTTAGTTTTTGCTATTATACACAATGCACTCCTGGGTGGCGGCGGGGAAGAAATCACCCTCTCCCCAGGGGAGGACGGCCACACCACAATCCTTTATTGCTCCTCCTAGGGTTCTGGGCATGCACGCACGTGCCTAGAGGGGTTTTCAAGCTGCTGGGTCTGGGACTCAAACTGTGAAATCGGCCACATGGGATCCAGCCACCTTAACCTCCACGCCACCTGCTGTCCAACAGCCTGAGTTTTCTCTACAAGGCCAATGAAAGTGGTAATCAAGAGCACCCTTTCTGTGGCTGGCCTTGCAGCCCTGGTGAACGGGGGAGGACCCTACACGGCTGACTACCCTGTTTGAAATCCCATATCTAGCAGCTTTCAGGCCGGGCATGTGCGTGGATACCCCAAATTCCCAAAGGAAGAGAAAGAAGGAAGGATTCCGGCATAACCACACCCCATTGGACGCTGCTTTCTGCCTCTCCACTGTCTCTCTGGCCAGCACACCCACCCTCTGGGAAATTAAGAGAGAGAAACAGTCCATTCTGAGCAAGAATAATTTCCTTTAAATTTCACTCCCGGCCTGGCCCTGCAACCGGAGTCCCACATGGCTAGACTGGAAAACACACCAGGTGCTTATGCGCGCTTGCCTCAAACTCTGACAAGACAGAGAAATGGAAGGTAAGGAACTGTGTCATGATCGCATTCCACTAGGGGTGATTTCTCTCTCTTCCTGTCTCTGGTGAGCTCTGGCAATTAAAAAAATGTCTCCAGGCCAGCAGGGGGCATGGTGGTTAGGTAGCTGGACTCCCACAGTGTTCAAGTCCCAGACCGGCAGCTTGAAAATCACCAAGTGCCCAAAATCTCCAGAGAAGAATAGAGGAGAAGGGACTGCGGTGTGGCCAACCCCACTGGGGGGTGATTTCCCACTGTGGAAAAGTGGGAAATGCCCTGTGGAAAAAACTTTTACAAAAAAAACAGTCTCATGATTTAGCACCTAAGCATTAAAAAAAAAAAAAAAAAATCCCTCGCCCCAGTTCAAGGTCGTTTTTTACCCTGTCTCTTGCCTATTTAACCCTGTCTTTGCTCATCCCATCACTTCACAACCCAGGGCCTTGTGCCATAAGTGTGTTTTGCCTTCCTGCTGCTGGACCCGTGTTCACATGAAGAATAAACACTTATCAGATCCCTAGCCCAAAAAACACAACCTTCAATTGTGTTATTAAGTCTCACCTATTCTGTAAGGGCTTCCCTTCAAGAAGCCACAAGAGAGACCAGAAGTTAGTGTAATGGCTATGCCACTGAACTCCCACGTAGTCGACTGTGGTTCAAGTCCTAGAGCGTGTGTGTGCGTGCCCAAGATCCCGAGAGGAGAATGGATGAGAAGGGATTGCGGGGTGGTCATCCTCCCTGCGGGGTGAATTCTCGCTTTGTCCCTCTGGCGAGCGCACACACCCTATAGCAAAAACCTCTTAAAAAAAAAAAAAAAAAAGAAGCCACAAGAGGAAAAAGAGCATGGCAGGGGCATTGAAGTTAAGTAAATCAAGATTCAAATCCCATTTAATTAAAGGACAGAAGTACTGGGACCAGCAGATGACGTAAGGGTTATACCACTGGACTCCCACATGGCCGACCACAGTTCGAGTCCCAGACCTGGAGGCTTGAAACTCACTCCAGGCACATATGCGTGCATGCCCAAAATTCCGAGAGGAGAGTGGAGAAGAAGGGACTGCAACACAGCTATACCCCATGGAGGTGATTTCTCACTTTCTGTCTCTCCCACCGCAAGCACATGAGCCCTATAGCAAAAATGTCTCTCTTAAAGAAAAAAAAAGAAAAGAAAAAGGAACACAAGTATTATATCAAAACAGACAGAAGCCAACTGGTAGCATTTAAGTTAATAGCGACACAAGAATCCAGCCCTCACCGGTCATTATTGGATACTGCTAAGACCATCTCCGATTTTAAAAATTTAAAAAAAAAAAAAGGATAAGTAAATCAATCACATGATCTGCTTATACAAACTGCATTTTGGGTTGACCAGATAACGGATGCCGTAAGTACTTCCTTTGATCTTTAAAAACTTAGCTAATAAATGCAAAGTAAAAGGTAAATCGAGTATCACTGTTTTGTAAACTCTAATAAAGCAATGGACGGAAAAATGATCATCAGTGGGTACTAAAAACCCTATTAACAGTGAGGAAAAAGGATAACAAGGGACTACACGATGCCAGTGTCTCGCGGACAGCCCCTGCACCCTAGTGAATCTGAGCACCAGTGACAGTGGGGCCACCAGGTGCTCTGTGTCTCATGAAATGCAGGAAGAAGAGCTTACACTCCCATATGGCTTCAAACAAAAACAAAACAATACCCAAACACACACCGGAGCCAGCCAGTGCTGTGTGGTTGGGGTGGCCAGATCCCACTGGGCCAACGCATGACTAGGTCCTGGACCTGGAAGCCCATAAGACACGGAGGCACCTGTGCGTGGGGACCCACAGCCCACAGTTGCAGAAGGGAAGATGGAGAAGGGACTGTGGTGTGGCAGCCCCCATGGCGGTGCTTTCTCGCCTGTCTCCAAAGAGCCCATCTGCCCTCTACGCATTAAGAAACAAACAAAACAAAAACAACCTGAACTGGGACCAGCAGGTGGCTTGGTGTTTAGGGGCATTGGACACCCACATGGCCGACCATGGTTCAAGTCCTAGACCTGGTGGTTTGCTTTTTCTCTCTCTTACATTCTCACTCTTACTCTCTCTGGTCAAAATGAAAATAAATAAATGGATAAAGTTAAATAAAATAATTCTTTTTTTAAGATTTATTTATTCATTCATTCATTCATTCATTCATTTTAATTTGACCAGAGAGAGAGACACAGAGAGAGAGAGAGAGAGGAAAGTAAGAAAGCAAGCCACCAGGTCCAGGACTCGAACCGTGGTCGGCCATGTGGGACTGTCCAGCGCCTTAACCACCATGCCACCTGCTGGTCCCATAAAATAATTCTTAAAAAAAAAAAAAAAGAAACCTGAATCTAACCTGAATCTAAGCCTCTAAATCTAATCTACTATATGCTCTTTTCATCTGTGCCATTTTAAAGGACAAAGGGGAAAAAGCTAAACATCAAGGAATCAGTCAGCCAAGTATAGAATGCGGGATCTCCAAAAGAATAAATAATATGGTTTCTCCAGCTTACCGGAAACGAGAAAAAAGGAAAGGGCGGTGGGAGAACTGTTGACGGTAAAGAACACGTAGGACACACAGCCACATTCAGAGTAACTGAACAGACTGACTATAAAGAACATTCTCTGAGGCATTCTGGGAATTTTTAAATATAAATTGACCGCACGCTCCATGAGAGCTCAAAGCAGGCTCTTTTTTTTTTCCTTTGGACAGGTTTTTGCCATAGGGCGTGTGCGCTCGCCAGACAGACAGAGAGAGACAGAGAGACAGAAAGCGAGAAATCACCCCACAGGGGGGATGGCCACGCCGCAATCCCTTCTCCTCCGTTCTCCTCTCGGGATCTTGGGCACGCACGCATACGCGCCCGGCGTGAGTTTTAAGCCACAGGGTCCGGGATGCGAACCATGGTCGACAACATGGGAGTCCAGCGACATAGCCATTACACTAACTGCTGGTCCTTCAAAGCATGCTCTTCAAAGTACTATCTTGGGCTGGTCCTGTGGCCTGATGGTTAGGGAACCAGATCCCCATGGCAACCACACAGTTCACATCCCAAACCCAGTAGCTTTAGCAACATTCTGGGGCCAGTCAGTGCTGTGGGGCTGAGGCAGCTGGATCCCACATGGCTGATGTTGTGCAGTCCCAGATCCTGCTGCTTGAAAGACACACCAGGGTGCGAGTGCGTGTGTGCCCAGAACACCGAGGGAGGGCGGAGGATAAGGGGTTTTGCCGTGGCCACCTCCTCCTACCCCCTCACTCACTTGTGGTCTCTCTCTCCCCTCCCCCGCCACAAGCACATGCACCCTGTAACAACAAAAACCGGCACACTGGGTACATGTGTATTCTGCCCACCTCCCAGCAAGATGGCGGGAAGGGAGAAGGGGCTGTGGAGCTCCATGCCCCCTGAGGGCTGCTCCCCTGCAATGCTATCAGGGAAGTGCACGTGCCACCTGACAGAGTAAAAATAAAGTCCTCTCTCTGAGCTCGCTGTACTTAGGAACTCTAACCTGCTGAGTGTGGGTAGCTTAGAACAAAACGGGACCAAGCCCCCATAACTGTCATTCATAGTCTCTAATGCTTGAACTCCTGTGCACAAATCACTCGGAGCATCTGCTGGAGCTTCTCAAGCTCGCGGGCAGGAGGCGTTCCCTAAGTATTTGCTGAATAAAAACACACTACATGGAATGTTCTGGCCACGCTGCTTACATTCAAATGCCACCAC